TTTTTTTTTTTTTTTTAAATCTCCTTCCCTCTATGCATGTCAATTTAAGATGATTAAAATATTTCATATCCCATGAAAGCCGTCCTCAATTTTTATGGAGGTAGAGACTTCAGGCCAGGTTCCTGGTCGAGCATGTGATGGTATTGTGTATTTTGGTTATTGTTTGTGTTGTTCATCTTTTATATTTTGGTGTCTAATTTTGCTCTCCTCTTTGAGCAGTTCCCTACAATATGGGTTGTTTCTTCCCTTGTACCGATTGTTGGTGGAGTGGCATTGGCATCAATGACTGAGGCATCTTTTAATTGGTGAGAAATAGGAATGGATTCGATGGCAATAACTGTTACTGCCACATCTCTTTAAAGTGTGGTAAATTTGTTTGTTTGAGATATTCACGACGTTCTTTTTTGTGTGCGTGTTTTTCGAAGGGCTGGTTTTTGGAGTGCAATGGCCTCAAATTTGAGCAATCAATCTCGAAATGTCCTTAGCAAAAAGTTCATGGTCAAGAAAGAGGTATATTTCACTCTCAATTTTGTATCATTCCTATAGCAAACAATGGAGTGCTGGTCATTTTTTCATCCACTTCAATCACTTTTGCCAAAATCAGTTGCAGTAAATCTGTTACTTAATAATGTCCAGTTGTGATGTATTGGTTTCCAAATTACGCTGAAGTTTGAATTGCTTGCTTGGAATACGTACATGATCTGTTTGGTTTTCGTGCAGGATTCTTTGGACAACATTACTCTCTTCTCGATAATCACAATTATGTCATTTTTCTTGCTGGCCCCTGCAGCTATATTCATGGAAGGAATTAAGTTTACCCCTGCTTTCATTGAAACTGCTGTACGTATATCTCAGGAGTGAAAATGCTTATAATTCATTTTCGTTATGCCTTTGATAATGAGCATATTTTATATGTTTGATCAACGTAAGAAACAGAAAAAAGGTAGAAATTGATTACCGAATTGTTTTCTTGACAGGGGATGAATGTCAAGCAGATTTACACTAGATCCCTCATTGCTGCTCTCTGCTTCCATGCATATCAGCAAGTAAGTTGTTCAGATTCTCAGTTAGTGCTGAAGCAATGATAATATTGTCATGTGCATTGTTAAAGTGAATGCTTAACGCCCCCAAAGCAAAATGCAATGAATTATATATTTGCTAACCTTCACCCCCCCCCCCCCCCCCCAGCTAAGCAAAATGCAAAATAGTATATATTTGCTAACCTTTTCATAATGAAAATGGTTTCTGCCATATTTGCTAATGTTTTCATATTGAGATTTCTCACAAGAGTTTGTCTGCAGGTTTCATACATGATATTGCAGAGGGTATCTCCTGTGACACACTCTGTGGGTAACTGCGTGAAGAGGGTGGTGGTCATCGTTACCTCTGTTCTTTTCTTCCGCACTCCAGTTTCACCCATCAACTCTTTTGGTATTTCTCTAATAATTAACGAACTTTAGTGGCATGTTTGTTCTAATTTTGTTCATTCTATTGTCCTATGCAATCTAATATTATGCACTAAACATGCATTGCTGGAAAAAGGGAAACCGAGTCCCCATGTACTGACACTATCTTTTCCTATTCACCTTTGGTGCAGGAACTGGAATTGCCCTTGCTGGAGTGTTTCTTTATTCGAGAGTCAAGCGTATTAAGCCAAAGCCGAAGACAGCTTGAAATAATTTGTTGGTTAATTGTGGTGTTAGAGTCGAACATCATCAACTTTCTTTGTATTTTAGGAACCTTTTTTGGATATAATGGAAAACAGAAAACAAAATATGCATTTTTATTTTTTTTATTTTTTATTTTATTTTTTAAGAATTTAAGGAATTCTGAGAGAGAGAGAGAGGGATTTATGAAACTGTGTTATACCCAAACCAAATTCTGGAATACCTTTCATGATTTCCCATCAATTCCTCAATGGTTAGGGGAATCAGTCGGCATCTTCGTAGTGGGAAGCCCGGCTTCATTAAACTCTCTCAATTTCTTCCTGGACGATTGCATTGCCTTCTGGTGTTAGGTGCGATCTGTCGCTGTTAGAAAGGGAAAAGAGTTCCTTTTAAGCAATTTACTATTTCCGAACATATTTATTTGAGTAGCAACTCTCGCCTCCTTCCCAAATATATTCAAGAATTTCTTTCAGTCGTACATAATTAACAAACCTGAAGAAAAACTCCATTGATGAACATAAACATATGCAATAAGAAATGACATAAAAATGTGAAGATTTGGACAGATTACTACAGGGAAATGTGTTCCAACAATGGTAAAAGCCCTTCTGGTGTTGTATCCACTGTAACAACGTAGCAACGCATCCGCCTGCCGGATCAGAGAGGTAAATTTATGCATATGAATACCTGATTTCGAGTTTGTGATGAATTATAAAAAAATCAAAACCTTGCTCAATCACGGAGTCCCCAAACAACACTATTTGAGGCCTCATTATGAACAATTATGTCTGTTTACACCAAGTTTGACAGTTAAACAAAAAATCCCTACAATCATTTTTTTTTTACAAATAAGCAAGTTGTCAAACATAACGTACACTTTGGAGTGTGCAAATGCCATTTCCTCTGACTTGTGGAGCTGTCTTGTTTGATCCATTTAAACACTAAAACCGAAATTTAGGCGAATGGAAACGTTTGTGTGTCACCAGAGTTATTAAGGATGCTTCAACATTAATTGTCAAGTAGATTCATTAATTTATCCTCTGAAAATAAAGAACATGCTGTGTTTAGAAGCTATTGAATGAGTCATGCATGTCTATTAATAAACAATTTTGAGTTCATCTATATAGTTGGCTAAGGCGAGGTTACAACTAGATCATTAGTATCTTTTATGTTGATTGTGTAGTTGTAGATAATAAAAGGGATGTCGAAAATGTAGAGATTTGCTCCCTCAGACGAGCAATTGGCTTGCACATTTAATTGGTATTCATACATTTTCATGCTTTCGTACGTTCCATGTTCCAACCAGAAGCATGATACAATGGATAATACAAAACACAGTATATATGTATTTGCCCTGCTTTAGATAAAAAGAATATAATGAATTCTGATTGTTTTAATAAATAGTCAATCATTACAAAACTGCATTATACCCCAGTGCATAAATTCCGGAAAGCCTCTTCAGGATTTTTCCCATCAATTACTGAATGGTGGGGGAAATCATATGGCATCTTCGGGGCTGAAAGCCCGGCTTCATTGAAAACTTTTACAACTTCTTCATGGACGACTGCATTACCTTCTGCTGTCAGGTGCAAGCCATCGCTGTAAATACAAAACGTGATTACAATAACTTGGTCGCTAAGAAGTAATCCAATTATCTCATCCCAGAAGCGTTAAAAAAAATTCTGTCACTAGTAAATAAAATAACAAACCTTAAGAACTTTTTCTGCCAACCCTCAGTTTCCTGCATCTTTGACCATAGATTGATTGAAGGGAGACCAAGTTCTTTAGCTAATTCAACACAGTGCTTTGCATAAACTGCAGTCATTTCATTTGTCCTTTCAGGCAACTTTGTTGCTTTGTCACCATACAAAGACCTGCTCGAGTAACAGAAAAATATTGCCGAAAGTCTAATGGTAACTTTTCCAGTGACAAATTGATTCATCATGTAAGTGATAGTCTCTTGAAAATCATGTGCCCTTGATAGAGAATAGATTTTGATGTCTGAATTTAACAGAATGTGCACCGTTGTTGGCTCTAAGTAGGTGCGCACAGTATGAGCAAAGTAATAGGAACAAAACACACATGCACAGGGATCATGAAATATTACACAGAACAGATGATTAGAGAATGCTTGTGTCAACTTTCTCGGCTCTAAGATCTCCTCGTGGTTTGTATAAAAATGCAGTTGCTTTATGCAAAGAATTCAATAGGTTAAAACAAAGCCAACTCTCTTATAAAATCTTGGGAGGTCAAAAAATTATTAATTTTAAGTTTATAACCTTAAAAAAAAAAAAAAAAAAAAAAAAAAAAAAAAAAAAAAAAAAAAACCTTCAAATTTCCTTATAACTTCTACGTTTAGACATATTGATGGGGAATGAATATAAAAATAATAGAAACTCTTGGTAGATTAGGAATAAAGATGGATTAATTTGGATTAGCTTAATTTAATTTATCATAGTTTTCCCAGTTTGACTAAAATTAAGATTTAAGTTATAGATTTTCTAGTTTGACTTAATTTAAGCTTAATACCTTTGTTTCCTTCTTAAACTAAATTTGCTTAAACTCTATCCATTGTAATACCTAGACTTGATTATTGAATAAACGCATATTTCTCACTCTAATTTCTCTTGATTATCATTCTTGTTCATTAAGTTCTATGTCACACAATATCTATAATTGATAACGAATGCAATCAAAGAAGAAGCTGTAGTTTTATTCAATAATCAATACAATGAAAAAGCAGTCATACCCATACTAAAAATCCCTAACAAGGATCTCAGAAAATAATTCCTTTGGAAAAAAAAATTAAAAAGAAAAAGAAAAGATTGAAAGAATGTTTGAGAAGTGTTAAATAAATAGTCTAAATTATAAATAGATAGAAATGAGTTATCAATAAATGGGTAGAGTACTTGTGAGTCCGTCAAAATGTGAGT